TAATCTTTTAAAAAAAACTTTATTGTTTGATTTTCTAAAAAAACTCGATTTTTTAAAATTCTGAATAACATAGTTTTCTTTATTTTCAAAAAAAATTAAGTTTTTATTAATTTAAAAAAAATAGATTTAATAGATTTAAATAATAATATAGAAATAATTCATTGGATCATCAAAATATGATGGATGGATTGGATCCATCTATGTATATAAATGGATGAATTTAATCCAATCTATTAATTTACTTTTTATTTAATGGATGGATTTGATGAATTTTTTAGTGGATGAATTTGATGGATTTTGTCTTAATAGATTTAATTCACTCCTAATTTGAGGGAGAAGTGTTACAAATACTAATTTTATTATTGTTATTTTAGCACGGTTAATAATTCGTGTTTTGTGTTTATGCTCTAGAATGAAGCTTTAAAAGGGAATGCAATTTCAAAAATAGTTTTGACAATCAAAAATTGGTTATCATAAAGTCTAAGAATTTGAGAAATACATGTGATGAATTGAGTATTCCCCTACACGATAGTATCTTTTCTGTAGTGGTAGATTGAGAAACTGCTTGTTCTTTTACCAAAAGAAGCCCAACATTTATAATCTCTATTTTTGGTCATTTCATAGAGAGAAATTAACTTATCACTTTTCATATTTTTCATATTATACATGTCACCCCTTAAGATATGGCATATTTATTAAACTGTCTCTGAAAATATATTGGAATTTTTGAATTTTTCGATTCTGTATCAAAAATTTCATATAAATATCAGAAATTTCGTTAAATTTCTATGTTTTTACCGTCTGTCATATGAACATTACTGAAAATTTAAAATTTTCAGTACCGGATATTTCAAATTTCTGATGTTTTTCATCATTATAAAAAAACCAGAAATTTAAAATTTCCAATATGTGAAAAATATCAAAAATTTGAAATTTCCAAAAAAATAACTTTTGTAAAAATTTACGGAAATTTTAAAATTTCCGGGGGTAAATCGCAATCAAAAATTTCCAGTAAATAACAACAGAAAATTTGTAGAATATACAGAATTTTCGATATGCAACAAAAGAAATTTGCTAAAAGTGCCGGAAATTTCGATTTTTATCTCCTTTGACTAATAGTAAAAATAAAATTGATAAAAATAAAAAAATTTAGAATAAATAGTGATAGGGAGTATTTTAGGAATAATGAAATTTGAGGGCTGGCATGTATAATATGGAGATGGGCAGGTTAATTTCTCTTTTCATAGGTGTATCTTTAGACATATCCATCATTATTAAGGTTTTCCACCGGACATTTCATGCCAAAATCACAAGAAATGCCAATCTTACACGAGTTAAGTGTTCAATTGGTTTTGATTAAATTCATCCAACTTTCTTGCAAAACAATACTCCCTCCATTCCTTAAAGTCAAAATTTGCCTATAATAAGGAATTGAGGGAGTATTAGCTATGAAAGACTCAGAGAGATTGCATATGTATTATTGCTTCATGTAGATAATGCATGTCAAATAAAATAATATGAACACAATCGCCTTGACTAGTTTAGAGTTAGAATAACCTCAATCTGACAGTAACTCTGTAGGCATCAAACAATAAATTTCATCAACAATGGAAAAATCACCTTCACAATTTGGAGTGCATAAGCACAGTTTTTCAGGTTATAATAACTGATTCCTATAAGTTGGTGAAACAAAGTGCATGTGCTATCTACTCCACCAGTGTTGATTGTCTCTCGGCATATTTTTTTTTTAATTCAGGATTCAAACGTTAGTTTTCGCTTCCCAGCTCAACCTTTATACAGAACCTGGCACCCTCGAATTAGCCCCCACTGTATACAATAAACTATGATCCTTTCGCTCCTCGTTGCTTCTTCTCTTCCAATGCAGCTGCCTCGTTTAAACATGTCAGCGGCATCCTTGTGCATGTTCAGCTTTGCAAGAGCAACTGACTGAATGTAGAAAGTCGTGGGCCAGTCTGGATAAACACATTGTGCTTGCATTGCATCTCGTAGAGCAGGATCTGGTTGATCACATAACAGATAGCATAGGCTTCGCCTTGCAAAAACTGTGGGTGAGACCATCGTCCCCACATCAATGAACTGCACATAAGCCAAAGAGTATCAGAATAACCAACAAGTACATTACTAAGCTACAATCATATTGAGCATGTCAAACAAGTGTTGAATTGCACCTGGAATAGTTATCAATAGCTGTTCTTAAAATCCTTATCACGGAATGCATAGTCCCCACGTTTCCTTGCCTCGAGCATATCTCTCATCTGTTGAGTCCACTCTTGGAACGACAACTGAACCAATCCAAATTCAAATCTTATAGCATAGCATCAAACTAAAAGTAGTAAATTCAAAACAACTGCATCATTAGTTACCTCGTTAGTCCCTTCATCATCTCTGTAGTGCGTTGCAACTAAGATCTGATGTATTGCAGTGAGGTCCATTCTTGAGCAAGCCTCACCCATTGCAGAAAGAGGACGTTGGGGGGTAGATGGAGCTTCCTCTTGCTTTGGAATTCCAAGCATGATATGAGAACGAACCTAAACCGTGCAAAATAATAATAGTTAACTAGGATATGTATTTGTTAAGAGTCTCATATCAGACAATATATGGTCTGATCATGTGCTTATAAGTGAGGGCAATCCTCACTCTATAAGCCGGTTTGTAAGGTTGAATTAGGCCCAACCCACACGTTCTAAGATGGTATCAGAGCCCGGTTTAAGATTCATTGGGCCACTCCGCATCGGACAATATACGGTCTGAACATGTGCTTATAAGTGAGGGCAATCCTCACCTACAAGCCGATTTGTAAGATTGACTTAGGCCCAACCCACACGTTCTAAGAGTATTCATGACGTACGAGAAGATATTTGCTTTGTGACAACCCCATATGTACCTTTAATCACTCATCTATTCTAAGAAAATATATGCTAAGGAGCATAGACGATAGATTTAGTTGCATGCATGACAAATTGACAATAGTATTCCAAAAGCATGAATCATCATTTTTTTAGCCACATATAATGCGGTATAGAAATAGCTGGGTATTTGCATGGAAATGACATATCTTATATGCACTAGCCTGAAATTTTTTCAGTTGCAACTAAAAGCAAACTCAGAAACACTGGCCTTATCTAAGTTTGAGGGAAGTCAGGCATTAAACATTTAGAACTGGCAGCAATCAACCATTCAACCATGTGTAAGACATAAACTTGGAGCATGGAATCATCAAGTATAAGAAGTGGGCCATACATACCCAAATGAAAATGTCTACATTATAAAAATGCAGTACAATAAACAGCCTCTACATGAATAATTAGAAACTAGTCGATAAATTAATCTTTATATTTTCAATGCTTGCAATATAGAATTGAAGTTTAAGGAAAACATGTTACTTAGTTATCAATAAGTGCCTGGACTAAACCGTTTACTGGCAAAGTATATTTTAAAAAAATAAAAGGTTTCTTGTAAGTCACATGCCACTATTTTAGGATGATATCACATGGTAATCTATTTATTGATATAATTCCAAGCCAACAAACGATAATCAATCCTATGCTAAGTAGACTTCAGAAGAAGTCAGCTAGAACAACACACAATTTATTTAGGCTATTTGAGAACTTAGATTGACATATCAAACACACCCAACCTCTTAATCTGCCATACACAAAACCCTTATCATATTGTGTAATTTGAAGTAGAAAAAGTTAATGACCTAAAGGTACCGTAATCGGAGTCAAACAAACTTATGCAGACCACTCAAGTTCAACAACATTTTCATCAAAAAACATTTGATATTATTATACAACAACAACAACCAAGCCTTGTCCCACTAAGAGAGATCGGTTATATAAATCGAATTCCGCTATATGGATCAAATTCCGCCATAATGTTCTATTCAAAACCATGTTTCTATTCAATTCGTTAAGGAATACAAAAGCAACCCCCACCAAAGCCTTTTCCCACTTGGTGAGATTGGCAGATGGATCAAACAACCTCACAATATTTTTTCAATGATAATCAATCAACTTCAATGGTAGACCATTTAAATATGAATCTCCTAAACAATTTGACCTGAAATTTTCCTTAATGTTCCTGTAACTCTAATAACTGAACTTTCATCCATTTTGCCTATCCTCCTTATATGGTACTTACTCATGTATTTCCATACATGCCCAAATGTCTTCGATGAGAGTCAACCATCTTTTCTGCAACAACGACTATCTAAGGCGTCTGTGTCCATTGTAACATTTCTGTATCTGGAACACTAAGCTAACTCTCTTATTGTTTTTTTATTGATCAACAATCAGCCTCATACAAAGCCTTACAGCTTTAGAGGTACTTTTCTTTCAGAATTCACATGTGAGGTATTCTCCATTTTTTTCCACCCTACTTTGATCCCATGGTTTACATTTCTCACCAAAACCCAACCATTTTGTATGATGGACTCAATTTACTTGAGCTGTGAGACTTCGACATGTGAACATGGCATGTTTTCAGTTTCACGTCTAATCTATGGTTTGTATGCTAGTGGCTACTACCCAAGCATTCCATATACTCTATTTTACTTGTACAAAACCGAAGAGCACGGGCTTTCAAGGCTTGTCTTAATTTCTCTAACATTATTTATTTCTTCTTTCAACTCTCCAACTAGGCTTCTGGAATTAGGTCATTAGGATTTATCTTATTATAATAGTTCACTATCTGTCTATAAACTCAAAAGAACTTACTTATTCAAACAAATTTCTCAGATCAGCTAATGAATAAATTCTTATATCTACGTATAAGATATTTAGAGTTTATTTCAATAAAATTCTTACATAAGCTATGATTTATGAATAACCACTTGCTTAATTAGATTATTATCCAAATACATCAAAGAAAGGAACATTTGAATATTATTTGCTAAGGAATATTTCTATCAAAGCATATAAAATTCAAGGGGATATAAAATATCATGTGGAAGGGATATACAGAGAGGTTATAAAATATCATGTGGAAGAAATATACTTGTTTTTAGTCTCACTTGCAATTTTCAAAGTCAAAGAAAGAAATTATACATAAAGAGTTAAAGACTATATAAATATTATTAACGTTTCTTATAAAATACAAAAGGCTGACCTTATTTATAGTCCAATATGAGACTTCTAAACACACAACCCTCACACCTAAGACTATACATTTGTATAGTGACCCGAGTGGCCCCACAATAACCCAATTTAGCTCAAATAGTGTGTACAAGGTTCGGGAATGAATTCATAGCAGGTGGTCAAAATGATATTGAATAAACTCTGATAATTTAGAATCTGGATTGGACCTAACTCAACCATAAAAAATAGGATTGTGAGGTGACAGATATCCACCACTTATAAACACTTCTTCTGGCCATATCGTTCATCGTGAAACTCTCAAAAACCAATGCATACAAAGTCAATTAGCTGGTGGAGACAAGGCATAATGACACCAGAGATAGGACAGGACAACTGCATCAAGGACAAGACCTGGACTGCAATTGGGAGAAGAGATAAAAAACAAGCCATATTGCACAAGTGGGAGGTCAGATCGCATTAGAGCAGTTGACGGGAGTCATACAAAAAGACAGGTGGAAACAAAGTTAATTTATGGAAAAATAGACTAAAATGAACCCAATTTGCAGAAAGACCTGCTGGAACAGTAATTCAGACATGCAATGGAACAAGATCTAGAGACTGAGACTTGATACGGCAACAGTTGCAAAGAAGAAACCCAGATTAAACAAAAAACAGAGAATATGGTTTCAGACTTTCAGTGATAATCATCCCACGAACTCTACAATGAAAAATAAAAAAACTATTTTCAAGGTGTAACAATCACTCTTCAATCCTATATCCATTTCCACAAACCTCAATTGACACAAGTACTAAGCTCCTACTAATGCTTATCACATATGGAAACAAATAAAATATTACAAGGAAATCTAGAAACTAATCCTAGAAGATAATCTAAGATGCTATAAATTACTGTGAGATAAAATCAAGATATTATGGGATATTTGTTATCATATATTCTAAGACTATCCTCCATCAAACTAAAGCTTCGTAAAAGCCGCACATGCAAAAATTGAAAATATAATAACCAAGTGACACGAGATGCCACGACAAAAGAGATTATCCAGCACCATCTAGAACTGGATATTGGATGGAACAGAGATTGGCCAGATTGCGTCGTAGAACAAAAACAGGCCAAATTGCACCCAGGTTCATAGACGGACTAGATTAAATCTAAAACAGGTCCAATCTGTACTAACTACTATGTAATTAGTTGTATTCCTTACACTCACAAAAATGCCCCAGCTATCTAGGCTGCAATCAGCAATAAAATGACAAATATTTAATATTGGAAGACATAAATTTAATTATATACATAAAAAAACTCAACATCCAAAGTGATGGTTTACTTAAGTGATAGTGGAATATTGGGCAGGCAACAAAGGTTTGTTCTCTAGATAAAGTATATAATGTGTTCTATTGTTTACAAGAGAAGGGATACATACATCGGGTTTAGTGTGCAATGGAGCAAGTGTTGTGACCAAATCCTTTGTATTAGGCCGCTCTCGCGGTTCATATTGCAAACATTTAGAGGCAAGATTGACCACTACTGTTGCCTCCTCTGTAGAAAATTTTCCCTCCAAATGAGAATCCATCAAGAGCATGTTGTTTTTACCCTGTATCATATCAAGTGCCTGCAAACAGAATCAGATAATTCCATATGGCACCAATAAAAAACTAATGAATAAAAATTGTGTAAGAAAAAACACAACGATGTTGGGATAAAATTTGGAAGTTCCTTGTATCATTATCATTAAGTTCTCAAATCAAATAACGACATATAGATATTCTTTTAACATTAAGTTTAATCACCTTCATTTAGAATATGTTGCTGAATATTAAGGAATCATCCCGTGTATTAGTTTTATTTGAGAACTTGATGGCAATCATATGAGAAACTGGATGTAAATTTGTCCTTGATGTTAAACTTCAACACATATCATAGTAATTGCAGCTTCAAAAGTTATTAGGGGAAATTGCACTCACCTCTTTGAAGTATGCTTAACACGCACGGCGCACACACACACACCCTTCTCATTTATTTATAAAAAGCGCTCACCACACCGCACTTACTTGTTAGCACTCACTTTCTCTCAGGATTTGGGATGAGGATGAGCCTAACTCAACCCTTACAAAACCGGATTTTAAGGTGAGGGAGGATTGTCCGCCATTTATAAATTCACTTTCTTGTCATATCTCATCCAACGTAAAACTCTTAACATTTCCCCTGAAGCATGTTTAAATAACACCACACTCTAATTTAACAAAATTGAGGAAACTGGTTTAAGAGGGAATGTCAGTGTCTTACGCAAAATAGAAGGGGTTTATATGTTATTTAGACATATCCCGGGTGAGAGCAATTTCTTCATATTACTCTCTCCGTCTCATAATAAGTGTCTTATTTGAGCTTTGTGCGGTTCTTAAAAAAATGATTAGATGTGTTGATTTTAATGATAAAATTAATATTATTTACTACAACACCTTTATTTATTATAGTTAATAGAGTAGTTGAAAAGAGTGAAAACTAATAAATAGAAGTATAGTAGTGGAAAAAAATAATAAATGTTGTATTGGTATTCTAAAGAGACAATTATTTTGAGACATAGAAAAAGTGAAAATGAGACACTTATTATGAGACGGAGAGAGTATTAAGTATCAATCTAACTGAAAGAATTCCATACCTCAAATTGCCGTTCATAGAAAATCATATTACATTACATGCATTGAAAAATATTGTATTGTAATATTATTTATGAAGCATTCATAACTTCAACGTCACAAAGTAAATATGGTCATAAGTCATTACAACCAAAGAAAATCATACTACCTCCATCTCTATAGGTATGAAATTCTTGTGAAAATAAATTCCCTTTTTTATAAGACCCCTTTCAAGACGCATTAATTTGTTCTTCACAAAAATGCTCATAACTGAACGATACTTTTGGAAAAAGAACGTACATCGTTGACTAATTAATCATGTATTTGGTTCCGCGTCCACAACCCTTAAAACCGCCGCAGAAAAACCACGTAGACGAGGAGGCTACGCTTTGCAGTTTGTCGAAATCATAGTGAAATACAACAAAAACGTGAGGTGGCGGTGAACAAAAAGCTAACCCAAACATATGCTTAAGGTAAAAACTATAATCATCTTTTCTAAATCTTTTGCACTGGCCAAGAGGGTCTTCCATATAGGGACGGAGGTAGTACACGTTTAAGACACAAAAAGTTGAGTTAAAAAATAAGGACATTTGCAACTATTTTGAAAAGGGTGGCGAATGAAAAGTCGATTCAGGGCACAAAGCTCTTAATTTTAACTTTTAATTATTTCTTTAATCTATGTTAGGTAGTTAAAGCGGCTTAGTGAAAGAAAGTGACACCCGACTGTTAAATGGGTTTAGATCTCACTCCCAAATTCTATCTTAAAGGAAAAGGACGCCCAAGCACATCTACACATTGCATTGCCCAAGGACCTTGACAATGTGGGACATAAAAGAAACCTCAATACTGAAATTCAACGCGATTTGAGAGAGGAATTTCATTCTACATATGTTAAGCCCGTGAATTAATTGCAGTGAAATCCATTCTGTGAAGCGAATTTGCGAGGGCGATAATTACTAGTACTACTGCTTAAGCGAAAACTAGTTACTTGATATTTAATTTTTCGCGTAGACGAGTTTTAGGCAGAGGGCGTCGGTGGATGAAGTTAATAAAAAAACGAGCTAACTTGTTAGCAAAAGAGGTGTTAAAGGTGAAGAGCACATAGGAGAAACTTACATGACTGGGAGGGATGTGCTTTCCACTCAGTAGGTCAAGAAGAACAGTTCCAAAGCTGTAAATTACACTTTCAGGGGTAACCCTTCCTGCAACAATAAAGGAAAATATTTATTAAAGTTAATGCAATTAGTTTAGTGTGCGATAAAACAAAGAGTGTTAGTAATAGTAAGGAACCATTTCTTAAATACTCAGGAGGTGTATAAGCAAGATTTGTGCTATAACTTTTTCCATCCCTACTGTTCTTCATTAAACCGAAACAAGAAAGTCGCGGATCACCTTCCTGAAACAAACAACTATTAAATGCAATACCAAATGCAAAACCTCTCCTAAACATAACTCAAATCAAACCTTCGTTAACATTCATTAATTACCTAATCAATCAACTAATAATTAAAATCAATACTAAGAATGAAGCAGCAAGAGCAATAATAACAAAAATAAAACAAAAACAAGAAAGACGCGGATCACCTTCCTGAAACAAACAAACAGATTAAATGCAACAACTCTCCTAAACATAATCCCAACCTTGATTAACATTCAATAATTACCTAATCAATCAACTAATAATTAAAGTCAATAGCAAGCATGAAGCAGCAAGCGCAATGATAACAAAAATAAAACTAAAACAAGAAAGACGCCCATCACCTTCCTGAAACACACAAAGATTAAATGCAACACCTCTCGTAAACCTAATTGAAACCTTCATGAACATTAATTAATTACCTAATCAATTATCTAATAACTAATCATTAAAATCAGTAGTAAGCATAAATGAGCAAGAGCAATGAAAAAAAAAGCAAAAACCTCATCGAAAAGAACACGATAAGCATTCAAATCATGATACAAAGGACGACCCTCAGAAGTACAATAATGCAAAGCTTGTGCAATATAAAGAGCAACTCTCAACCGCATGGCCCACTCAATCGTCTGATTTTCCCCTGAAAAGATTTCAATTCAGTCATTCATTATTCATCAATCAATCCATTAATTGAGCAACAACAACAACAAAAAACAAATTCGGAACAAACAAAAATTAACAAAGTAGTTAATTACAGTGAAAAAGGTGTTTAGCGAGAGTATCATTAGGCATAAACTCAGCAACGAGCAACCTCTCATCACCATCACAACAATAACCGATCAAATTAGCAAGCCTAGGATGACGCAATTTCCCAACACCAGAAGCTTCTTCAACGAACTGCTTCGGATCCGGCCAAGCAGCTTTACTGAACTTCTTAACCGCAATCCACCGCTTCTGATTCTGTAACCTACCTTTATAAACCAAGTTCGGCGCCTTTTCGCCGCTCTCGGAAACTATATACTCCGAACTGAAATTATTCGTAGCTGATTTCAAGTCGGAGAGTGAAAATTCCGAGAACGTAAACGAAGAAGGATCTGAAAAATCCTTCTCCGTTTCGCTCACGGTGCTGTTGTTGTTGTTACTGCTGTGAAATTGCTGATAGGGTTGTGGTTGCTGTTGTGGTTGTTTTTCGGTTTCGGTTTCTTTTACTCTTGTGAACAAAGAGGATTGGCAACAACCCATTCTTTTGTTTCTCTCTCTTTCTATCTCTTCTTCTTGAAACTGAAATAATAGTATGAGAAATTATTACTTACATATCACACACTTGATTGTTTTGTTTTGATGATATGCTTTGATTATTTTTCTCTTTTTTTGTGTGTTTTTTTAGTTTAATTCTCAAATCTGGAGTACTGTACAGTTGAGTTTTTTTTTTTATTTACCTTTTTTGACTTGGAAAGTGGACCCTACAGTTCAATCTTCGCTACTCTGATTGCAGTAATAATAATGATTTTGGAAGTTATTTCTACTACTATTGTGTTATCTCTTTTTTTTATAAGGTTGTTTAATTTTTTATCTACATTTAGTTATTGATTATCTAGAAGAAAGATAGACAGACGTGATGTATTTATGAGATTTATTAATTTAATTTGTAGTATTAATATTAATTATTAATCATTTTATATTATTATATATTATATTATATAGACTAAATTTTATTTATTAGTTTTCTTACAAATTTACTTCTTAAAGAGTAATTGTTTTAGTAATAATGTTTAATATTTATATCGTGTGGTTTAATATTGTAAAAATGAGATAGACTTAAAAGAATCGGATATTTTAATTTAAATTTTTAATAATAATTTTTTATTAATAATTTTTCATATAACTAAAGGGAGTTTTTTTTATAACTTTTCCTATTTTAATTTAGTTTCTATTTTGGTGATGTGAGTTTTGAAAATGTATTCAAAAAATTAAAATCTAAACCAGCTCATTATGTCCTTTTTTTTTTGGCAACAAGTACGTATCAATTTTTTAAAGCCGAAATGCTAATTAATTAGTATAGTATTATTAGTTAAAGTATTAAACTAAACCACTTAGATTATTTATAATGATAAAATTATTCAACATTCATTTTATTTTTTTTTATATTTCACATCATCTTCTCTCTCTTCTACTTAATAATTCAACATTCATTCAATTTTTATTCATTTTTATTTAATAAAATTCAACATCTTACCCCACTACTTTTATTTTTTATTTTTATTTTTTTTTATATTTTTATTTTTTTAATTATAAGAGGGTTATTGTTGGGATTCATTTTAATACAAAATTGTTTAGTGCTACAAATAATAATTTATTGAAGGTTAAATAGAAAAATTAGAGAAAAAAAATAGATTTTTTTTCTTTGTTCAAATCAAATGAATCAATGATCTATTTATAAACAAAAAAAAAATGATGAATTTTGGTGAAAATAAAAATAAATAAAAAATTGATTTTCTATAAAATAATTAACTCCAAATAATTTAGGTGAGATAAAAATATAAACAATCACAACAATCAATTATATTTTGCAAAGTATTATAAGTGGCCTCACTCATTTCTCTTTTAACATATTGAATGTTTTCAACACAAATTAATTTATGTCACATTCAATATAAATTAATTCATATCACATTCAACACATTATTCAACACCTTATTTAACAATTTATTTGAACAATTTAACTATTGAAAAATTTATTAAACACCCCTGAATAGTCTTACGGTGTTTATGAAAATAATTTAATTTTACTTGATGTTGTACTTCTTTCATTCTTAAATACAAGCGAATGATTGGTCAATAAAAAAACTGATGTATTTAATTTAACATATTAATTTTCAATGATTCAACTTATATTCAGAGTTGAAACAGTAGTATTTAACATTATATTGTTTTTATAGGAATTAAAAATACTATAAATTTTGATTACTTTGTGAATATAAAAAAAAAAAAAAACTTAAGAGTGAACTGATTAAGTAGTTTTGGTTTTAATAATAAAGAAGATCTTGTTAAAAATGTAATTTGGAAAATATCAAATTACTATGTCCGTTTCTTATAGGAATTAGAGTGCAAAAAAAATATATATGTATAAATGAATTTGATTATTTTATTCAACTTATGATTTTAATATTTTTTTAATTGATATATTAATTTTTAATATAGTATATTTGAATCAGGTTTATTTTATCTTTTAACTTTTTAAAATTATTTTTTTAAGAAAATGCTTAGAATTTATTTTTTTTGGTTTTCTATGATTATATATTACAAATTTAACAATGAAAACGAATCAAAATTTTAAGAAAATATAAAATTCTTTAATATATAGTTATGTTGTGAATTCAGAGATAAATTTAAAACTAATTTAAAGTACTTAATTAAGATGATAACAAATTTTTTTAATTTATTCGGTAAATAAATCATATTACATTTATTATTATTTGATCAATTGTAAATTCAATCTTTTAACATTTTTAATCGTTTATATCTATTGATTTACTTTCAGATTCATTTGATCAATAGGATGGAATTAAATTTTAAAATACTGTAAATAAGTCTAAAACTCTGCCAATTTAGTTGTATATCTAAAATAGTTTATTCATAAGTTTTTTTTTTTTGAAAAAAAAAAGTAGAGAAAGAACTAGGGGTGGGCACCGGTTCGGGCCGGTTCGGGTTCGGGCCCAAACCCCCAATCCGAAGTTATCCACGGGTGGTATATTACGACCCAAATCCGACCCAATTATGATTCGGATTAGTCGGGTTCGGGTTGCATCGATTTCGGGTATCTATAGGATTAATTTCGGGTACCATTTTTAATGGGCTTATTGAAATATTAAGCCCAAATTCAGAATTTAGTAGTTTTACCCCCTTTTTTTTGTACAGTTTTCAAAATTTTCATTTAACTACTTAAAATTTCCAAAAAAAAAAAATGACATACTCTATAATATAAATTCATAGTTAAAAAACATTACAAATTAACATAGTATCAAATTCAAATACATTACAAACTCCAATTCAAATACATTAAAAATTCCAATTTAAATAGATTACAAATTCCAATTTAAATAGGTATCAAATACATTACAAATTCAATTAAATTTAGCAAAGCCTACATAGTAACACAACCAACATATAAACTCCAATTCTTTGAGATTAATCCATTCCATAAAATAACCGGGAAGCTTCTTGCACTCCTGCACTCCTGCATAAAAGCTATTTGTTCCGTATGAAACAGTCTCAAGCTAAACATGGACAAACAATTGCTAAACTAAATAGTATAGTAATTACAGATATTTATGGCACTTGCAAACATAATTAACAAAAAAATTAAAGTAAATTGGAACTACAGTATTTGACTTCATATGAACTATATGAGAGGTACTCACCAATTCTCACTCATGAACTATATGAAGTATATATTAGCATCTTTACTATTCAAAATTAAAACAACAGAAGCTGGGACACAAAATCTATTTCTTCTTTTCTTGCATCATGCCAACAACTAAAGCCCTTATGAATCTTGTCTAAAGCTATAATGACAGGACATGAAAGCAGTTCCTATATAAGATATATAAAAAGCATAAACCCCATTCCCTTCTTTAACATCCAAGTAGAGTAACTTAAAAGTCCATTTTTCAGTCATAATTTCACAGGCAGGCATAAATTAAAGAATAATAAGTCACACTTCTCATTTCAGAAGTCACACAATCAACAATAAAATAACACATTCACAAGTCACACTTCGCATTTCAGAACAGCATTCACAAGTCACAACTTCAAAAAGCAAAATCAAAACATTCAAAAATTAAACGCTACCTGATCTTTATCATCGTGACAGTCTGATGCTACTGTTGAACAAGGCAAGAACTATAATTGGACTGCAGCAAGAGAACCATCTTTCTCCCTTGTACCCAACACAGCTCTAGAGTCACCAATGTGGACTTCCTTTGAAAGAAAGCATTGAGGATGAAGAATTTATCTGGTCCAGAACAAATCATAACTCAGAGATGATCTCCATAAATAAAAAAAATCAACCAAACATAAATTCTACTTTTTGAAGCCCTCTAAATTATATTTTCTTTCTACCACATGCTTATTATGCCAATGCCATATAGTTTTTAAGTAATAAAAAGATGGAACAGAGATGAGAAGTGCAATGCTTGTGTAATAAACAGATATGTTCCAGATCTCCTCTCATTTTTTATGTTGGTGTTGGTGTTCACTACTGAAATACATAAGGAACAGAGCCACACCACCAATTTATTATATAGCACTATTTGCACACGACTGATACCGGAGCAATAATCTATGAATCATGTAAATAAGTGAAAAATGAATTGTTACCTTTAAGAATCGCGAACAGTTTTTGGGGATTGAGTTGTCTTTCACATATGCTACCTTGTTACCTCTATATTCTTCGGGTACACAATCATTGTCATATCTGTCCACAATTTCAACAACCTAGATATCCATTGTTCAAAAAAATATCACAATAAGCATATGGATGTTGATTGGAAAGGAAAAAGATAAAGAAATTGCATAGCATGAATGTAAGAAGAAATGATATATACACTATACGATGCACGGAGTGTAACAATTCCAACAGGAATAAAAATCAAACCCATCAACAGAAATGTAGAAATGACCTGCAAAGAACATGATTGAGAATTAGAATGCACACTTTTCACAAAGGCACCATAAAATATTCAAGTATTGTAAAAGAACTAACTGCCGCAGGTGTAAGGACGGGTTTACATGCTGGAAGGTTCTGCTGTGTAAACTGATGGAGTGCTGCAAGACCACCACAAACAGCATCAATTATCATAACAAGTTGAAAACCAGGGCAAAAAGAAAGTAAAAAACCCACCACCATGTCGTACAGGGCGTCCTGGATTAGCCCGTGCACTCGTGCAATATAGGTAGTTTTAAGCTATTACGAAATTAAAAAGCATCAACTAACACTTTTAAAAATCATTTGGAATTGCTAAACAATTTTAATAGAGCTAATCAAATTTAAACTGAACTCTTTTAAAGTTATTAGAACAAAATAAAACAAAACTAACACATACTTTCTTCAATTCTCTGAAGAGATTTCTCAGTAACACTGTAATGAAAACAACAACAGTGATTAAAATATTGAAAACAACAAAAACTGAACATTGTATTTGAACTATTGAAACGAAAATAAATAAATAAATACTGAGTTT